TCAAGTCGCGGCATGACACAATCAAGGGCTCATACTCCGTCATCGCGAAGATCGTCAATAGCAGTGGAATGGGGTGGGAAGCCACAACGTGCAAGGTGGAGTGTCGATCAACTACGTGGGAGTCATTTCTGGATGGCAAACCCAAGCAATGGGGGCGTGGCGACACAAAAGGTTTCCACAGTTCGACCTCTGTGAAGCTCTCTTCCGTGGAACTCTTGCGCGTGGGAATTTCGTTGGAGCCTGGTCGCTGAATAATCCATTCCAGATTTTTGAAATTCAGGCTGGGATAAAATCAATTTGATTGGTCAATTTATCCGAAATCCGCATAACGTTCCTGCCTGACAACTTGGTTTGAGGCAGGGATGTGGCGTTCCTGCCCTGTACCAGCCATTCCTGCTCTACAGTCAATTTGCCGACTGACCCATGAGTGATGACGACGACGCTCACACGCATGATGTAGAAACCCATGGTATTCACTACAATGTCTACTTTCAACGTATGCTGACACTCAGTACATAGCGCAACTAACGTCGAAAGGCCAAGAAGGCCAGACGCGCAAAGCGCACGTCGGTCGACACTCCAAAGCGAGGCTTGCTTTGGGACGACAAGAGTGTCCATGAATTGTTCCGACTTCGGTACAAGTCGCAGTTGGCCAAGCGCTTCGACTCGAAAAACAACGCTTTGACACTTTCCAAATTTTCTTGTCTGAAAATGACCCCGGTCGAATATCCACGGACAAAATCACCATACGATGATCCACCAGTGCTTGGATGTTTAAAGAGGGGTCCCCATTTCTGTTGTAAAATCCAACATAATCCCGTGGTCTTTGAATGTTAATAAGGGTCCCATCCACTGCACCAACGACGCCACGGAGGTTTTGGCATTTGTAAACTCCACGTTCAATGAATTGCCACTCATGATTGCAGGACGGCAAGCGAATCCATTGTTGAGCATTTTTAGAGACAGCAAGCACAATTAATGTCACCACCTCAATACACCACGTCTTTGCCATGCCAAACGCTGCAGAGGCCACCGACAAACATACACCACACACCACAGCAGAGACGGCAACGACAACCTGACCAAATGTATCCATTGTATCTCCAACCACGAAAAG